TCGCCTCGCCGGCGCTGCGGCCGTGTGCTTGTACCGCAGGAGCCCCGCAGGCACCTTCTCCCCCCTTCACCGCGAAGTGGCTTTTGCTCTTCCCTCCAGACCCCGTTAAGCCTCCCTCTTTCCCCCGGCCCTGCGCAGCTTTGCACATGGCCTGGCTGCCGGGCTGAGCGCGCTGCCCCTCCTTTTGCAGGGTCGAGGACACAGCAAGCAGATCCTGGTGCTGGGCCTGGACGGGGCTGGGAAAACCAGCGTTCTCCACTCCCTGGCAACGAACCACGTCAAGCGCAGCGTGGCTCCCACCGAGGGCTTCAATGCCATCTGCGTCAACACCGAAGAGTCCCAGATGGAGTTCCTGGAGAGTGAGTGAACCTGTTTTAGTACGAACATAAAATAAGTTCCTATCCTATGTCCTAGGGCGCAGGCCCATATTTTAAAACCTCCATATTCCTTCGTGCCTGCTCGGATAACGTGAAGTTGGGATTATTTTTTCCTTGGGGATTCTGCTTTCCCACCCCGCTTCTTGAACGAGGTGATACGCTGGTGTTAGAAGGGATCTGTGTTCATTCAGCCCTGTCCTCCAGGGAGTTCTGCTTCCAGAGAGAGAAGGGTAACAAGGCTGATTGCGTGAAACCAGCGCAAAGCAGAAGTGTCCCCAGTAAGCCCTGCGTCATGGCCCATAGCCGTTGTGTGTTGTACAGCTTCTCCTTGGTGCTCGTGCCTGGCAAAGGGCAAGAGCAGAAGAGGAATAAATAATAAGGTGAAAGGAGAGGAGGAAGAGAAAAGCTTTGTATGCTTTTTGTTCAAAAGCCTAAGTGGTGTTTTCTAGTCTTTTAACAGCTTTTGAATGTCTGTACGTTTTCACTAAAGTTTCTGCGTTGTCCTTAGTACTGATTTTTGGGTATTGTCCATGCCTGCAGAGAACATCCCCTGTGATGCTTTTGGGGTGTGGCAGCTGTTCTAGGAGCAGCTAGCTGATGGGAAAGGCGGGGGCCCTGGCGTCAGGTCAGTCCCTGGTACAGAGAGGCTGACACCCTGGCCTCATTGGTGCCTGCCTTCTGCGGAGGCAGAGGCTGCCCCTTGCTTCCTGCTGTTTCTGCACTGCGCCGCACCAGTGCTCAACTGGCTCGGTTGGCAGCTAGCCCATAGAAGCCTCCGTACCTTTGTCAGCAGGCCTGAAGGAGTTGTGCTGTTCCCAGGTAAGTCTTTGGGATGTGAGGATGAGGCTGCTAAGGCAGAGTTTCATTCCCAGTCCTACTACCACAGGAGTCTCTGCAGCGTCTTAGGGAAATGCTCTCTCCAGAGATGCGCATAGTCTATGCCCCTCTCCCAGTAGGTATGAGACACCTGTGTCTCCTACTGGGAGGTGCTTTGTGTAGCTGAGCGCAGAGAAACCCACGGTATTTCTGCTTCTGCCCGGGGATGGCCTGGGCCCAGCGCTGCGCACCCCACGGCAGAACCTGTTGTTTCTGAGTCATCCTTCCCTCTCTGGTCCAGGTTGGTAGTGACTGAGATGTGATGGCCGCGATCTGACCCATGGGAAATGAAATGTCTCAGGCCAGTTTCAGCCAGGTAAATCTGTGCATGGCTCTCTAATCTGGTTACTTATCCAGTCTGTACCATTGCCTAGTCCAGGGGTTAGCAGCCTGTGCTGTGGTCACGTGGCACAAGATGATCAGCAGACAGCAGGGTTTTTATTTTGCTGGCTTAGACAGATAGAAAACTGTTCTATCTTTTTCTTTGTACCGTCATATAGACAAGTGGGTGGTATCTTGCCTCCGCAAGGGATAGGAGCTCCTGGCTTCTGCTGAGTTCCTTCTGGTTTGGAAAAAAAAAAATGTTCTCTGTGAGGTTGCTGACCCCTGGGTTACGCTATGCATGAATGCACTTAACAGGAGGAACGGTGGTGAGCCCCCAGAACGTCACAGTACAGAATCAGAGGTTCTGTCCCACGCGTGACATGTCAGTCACGGCCCTTTGGCTCCTTTCCACAGAACTTGCAGTTCTGCTTGCAGATACGCTGGGGCTCTTGAAGCAGAGTCAGGCATGCCCTAGTGGGAAATGTTGCTTCCCTTTCTACCTTGTTCTTGAAACTACAGAATCATTTTGACTTAAGTGAAAGCAAAATTGCTTTGAAACAGAGCAGAGTCACTGAGGGCAGTAAAAGATGGCTGACTAGCAAGTCAGTTTTGAAAAGAGCTCCTGTATAAGGCAGGAGACAATTACAGGGAACCCCAAACGTACCGCTTTGAAAACTCGCTACATTTGGGGGACTCACCCATGCCTTTTGAGCAGCTCAGTACACTTGAGTGAGTGGTTCTGCAGTGTACCTAGGAGAAGACCTTGAGAACTGAAAACACATCTGAAATACTTAATATACTGTTGCTACTCCTGCTCCTATCAAACTCCGCAAACTACCAAACTCTTTTTGTCCCTAGATGGGAACAACAGTCTCAGGCAACTTGCTGCATATCGTTTCACCACAGAATTGTTCTAAGACCTGGTTTTGAAGGTGGACAGCTTTCCTCTGTATTCGCTGGGGTCAGGGGTATCCTGTGCAAAGATTTCTCCCATCACCTAAGGATTGCCTAAAGAGTCTCCTGGGACTTGATTTTTCTGTCTTCCTAAGCACATCTGGTTATTGGCAGTATGAAAACTGTGGGAGTTTTGAACTAGTCCCTAACGTCATACAAATCTGACGAGAGCCCTCCCCACCTCAGAGCTAAATTTATTCTTCGGAAATTGTAGGCCTGCTTTGTCTTGAGATGAGATGGGCATGTGGAGATAGGCTACATTCTCACATGGTGTTTATGGACACTGAACCTCTTTCAGCTCTCCCTACTAGCTTGAGAGCAAGAACCAACAAGGCAGAAAGCAATCATAAAGAAACTGAACCCAGAATCCTTTCAAAATAAGAGTGGATATCATGGAAAGATATTTGTTTTTTCCCCTCAGAGCGTACACATATGCCTGCATGGGACTTGGCTGGGGAAAATAAAAGTATTTCCAGTCTCATATAGAGTAGCCCAAATTTTGTTAACCCAAATACCTTGGGTTTTCAGCCCAGGGCCTGCTGTCCGCACCTCTGGGAGCAGTGCTGCGTGGATTACTTGGTGAATCTTGTGTTGCTCTCTTCTCTTCCAGTCGGGGGCAGTGAATCTCTGCGTTCATACTGGAAGATGTACCTGCCCAAAGTGCTGTTGCTAATCTATGTCGTGGACTCGGCCGATCATGCCCGACTGCCTGTGGCGAAACAGCTGCTTCATCAGCTGATCCAGAACAACTCCACTCTGCCGGTGGTGGTTCTGGCCAACAAGCAGGTAAGAGTTCCCTGCTGTTAGCTGAGCTTGGGCTGGCAGCAGCTCTGAAAACAGCAACAAAGCCTTTCAAAGGAGGCTTCATGCCATTAAGGAGGCCACATGGCTGGGAGCTGGGGGTCTCTCTGGGATGCCTGTTGACCGCAAAAGAAAACAATTTGAGGTTGACTTTTGGATCTGCAAGATGTGGGTCCTGTGCTTGGAGACGATGCAGAGCTGTGGGTGGAAATAATGGTGAAAACTGCTGTAGAGTTGCAAGGTTTGAGAGCTGCAAGGGAGACCACAGTTAGACCTGGAGTTAGGTGTCTGTTCTGAATGTCGGCCTTGAAGTACCACTTTACCTAGCAGCAGCCGGAAAGTGAAGCACCGTTGTTTGCCTTCAGATTAGTTGGTTGCTCCTAAGGCTGCTGCTGAAGCATGAGAGAAGAGCAGCTTTCCTCACAAGGCAGTGCCTTCTCCCAAGATCTTTGTGAAAGTGTCAGTGACTGGTGCTGTACCTGGAATAGAATTGCGCCTGTGGTACGGTCAGATGACCGAACAGCCCAGGGTTTTTAAGCCCAGGTTTTCTTTTATGAGGGCTATGTGCTTGGTTTGCTCCACGTTGTTACCTCCTAAATTTCTAGTAACTTAGGCACATTACTAGTAGTCGTTTGTGTTACTCTTGAACACAAGCACAGGCTTCGGCTTCATCAAACACAAATGCTCCTACTGATTCTCTAGGGCCTGGAGTCAGAAACGCTGTTGGCTGAGAAGGTACGCAGGGAATGACTGTTGTACGTTTGCCCTGGGGCGCCTGGGGTCTTGGGCCAGCAAGACTTTTGTCTGCCTTGTACAGGTAGTCTTGCATTGTTATCAGAAACACAGAACAGTACCCTTATTTCTTTGGGAAGAAATTAGGTTAAGGATGAACATTTTTTTTCCCAAAGCGTTTCAGGGCATGGGAACTTGATCTCATAGAAGGTACATAAGAACGGTGCCCCCAGAGCCATTGAGACCATTCCCCTCCCTGGACAAAGGCAGTGGCTCAAAGCAAGAATGGTGCTGCCACCTCATGCAACTAACAGGCTTGTTTTGTTTTTATGTATCAGGACCTCGAAGGTGCATATTGCATCACCGATATCCACGATGCTCTGGCACTGTCTGACATCGGGGACGAGAGGAAGATGTTCTTGATTGGTACCCACGTGGCAGAGGATGGCTCCGAGATCTCCTCCAGCATGAAGGATGCCAAGGAGCTGATAGCGCAGCTGGTTTTGGAAACGCAGTGACAGCTCTTTTCCTACAACGTGGTACCTGCAGCTGAGGTGTTAGTGTATGGTCAGCTTGCTGTGTGGCAACTGAAATGTACAGATATCTTTTCCTTGTGGGTGTGGAATTCCAATCAGAATGATGTCTAGTTGTTAGGAAAAACTAATTTATAGTGGTCTGAAAAGGCATTTGAAAAGTAGTGTATTTTTTAGCCTATTGTAGGGGAAAATTAGTCTCTCAGACAGCAGAGTTAAGGGGGTATATAGCTTAGATGGGCTGAGATGGCTTCTTGCCAGGTGAGAATCGATCATTGACTTCAATGGAACAAAGTTGTATCCAGTGAATTTAACCTCACTTGATGTCTCAGGCTGAAATTGAAATATTTACTTCACAGGTTTTGCAGAACCCTGCTAACAGTGTTGTTCTGTTAAAAATGAGGGCTCGTTTCTTGGGAGCGTCAGAAATATAAAGTGCTGCGACTAGTATTTTTGACAGTGACAATTTCTGTTGTCGCTGTATTGGAGCCAACTTTTAAGGGAGTGGCAAATGAGTCATCTCTGGAAATTGGGTTGGTTACTGTTTCTTTAGTGGATAAGAACAAGAAAATGAAAGCAGTAAGACATTAAGTGTTTCTTTGCCTACAGGGGAAAACCAGAACAGTGCAATTTAAGATAGTGACTGAAATAATTTTAAGTTAAATTGGCACCAAAGGTGGGAGACTCCTCCACTGGGCCGAGCAGCTTATTTTGGTTTAGTCCAGGTTGTCCTCGAGCAAGCGCTCTTACGTGTGAAGAACCTGTTGCTTCTTGGAAGTGATGTCTGTTAGCGTAGCGGATGAGGAAGATGAGTTGCTGATGAGCGTCACTCTCCCAGCATCCTCGTAATTACACTCCAAGAATGTGATCCAGGATCCGGGCAGTTCTGTAAAGGACCTGTTTTGCAACCGCATTTATTGTATGAAGGTTTTATAGTTTTGTGCTTTGGAATGGATGCATAAAGCAGAAAATTTTACCCTCACCAGAGGTCTGGCCTTCATTGACCTGAACAAGGAGCGCCGCAGGAGACCCTCAAGGCCTTTCTTGGGCAGCCGCCTTTAAAACCCATCTGTACAGGCCGGGTGCCCGGCCGGCCCATCTCCGCAGGGGCCTGCCCGTACCGCCGCGGCCCACCGGACTTGGGCCTCCGCTGGCAGCCAGCTTCTTCCTCCTGGCGCCCGCCGGAGAAGCAGAGGCTGGGGGAGCAGGGCTGGTTCCCCTGGTGACGGGAGCGCCGCCACGGTGGCGGCCAGGCCACAGGGCGGTGGGTGCGGACGGGGTGGTGGAGGCCTGCGGGGGGGCTCCTGGGCACGGCAGGGGGGGCGGGACCCGCAGGGGCCCCCGGTCCCCACCTGACGGCCCGCCCCCCGGCGAACGA